TTAAAGAATCATAACCACCCGTCGTACCTTGCGCGCTCGTATTATTGTTTACATACGTTTAAATGCGTCAAGCATACAATAAATTATAGATTGATAGTACCTGTGAGGTACTTAGTTAAAGGTATTTCTGTCCAAACTGAAAGGACGGAAGACGATTTGTGCTCACTTTAAGAAATCCTACAAATCCGCCATTTTCGTGTCCCCCTAAAATGGCGCTTCGGCTCGCAAGGTACGGCGGGTGGTTATGATTCTTTAAGTATGTCCAAATGTTTTTTTATGAGCAATCTTTCAAGAGGTCTTTAAAGGCAACATGTCATTTGTTGTCTTAAAATATAGTTGAATAAAATTGTGCAATGTCCTTGGCTTAGATTGGCTTTTGACAATTTTGAAATATCACGCGTGGTGTTTATCCCAACTACCACTACAAAACTTGCTATTATCTATACAAATGTTAGTTTATGCATACTTTATAAGAATTTAGTGGTAGCGTGCTCGCACTAAATGCGTGAAATATAAATACTACAAAATAGGTGATAAATTATAGAGTGCACGCCACATAAGTGTGAAACAATTCTTAACTAATTAGCGCCTAATAAGATTTAGTTATCAACTAACTAAGTATTTAGTGAGGCATAAACAAAGACAATTTCCTTTTCTGGCATTGTGTTGATGCTCCAGTGAATTCTTAGTTAGTTGATAACTAAATCCTATTAGTTATTGATTATTAAGAACTGTTTCACGCTTTTTTGCTGTGCACTCTACAAATTCCTTTGTTTCCTATTGTATAATCAACACTATTTAGTAATAATTAGTACTATTTGTCTCACGGTTTAAGTGCGAGCACACTACATTAGCCGCGAATAGCCGCTGTTTTATTTGACAGCAGATTCTCTTACGCAAAGCACTTACCAAACACAAAAGAAAGCATGAGAAAATGTTGCGCTAACAATTTACATTTTCCCCGAGTTGAGGCTAACCCTGTATTCCCAGAAGGCTCATACCTTAGGTCTCACGGGAATACAGGGTTAGTCTCAACTCGGGAGAAATGCAAATTTACAAGGCTATTGTAATAACGACATTTTCTCGTTCTTTCTTTGTGTTTGGTCAGGTCTTTGCGCAAAAGAATCTGTTGTCAAATCAAGCAGCGGTTTTTCTCTATGAATTCGAAGTATTAATAACT